TGTGTTTCCTCCGGGTGCTCCAGTTTACCCCACAGTCTAAACACATGCACTATAGGGGAATAGGGTATGCCAAATTGCCTGTAGTGTATGAGTGTGAATGGATGTTTCCCAGTGATGGGTTGCAGCTGGAATCCACTGTATAAAACAAATACTAGATAAGTTGGCGGTTCATTCCACTGTGGCGACCCCAGATAAAAAAAATAGGGACTAAGCCAAAAAACATTAGTAAATTAATAAATGAGTTATTATGTTGTTGTTGTTGTTGTTGTTTCAAATTGTTCAGTGTTTGTTGCAGGTTTTGTGCAAAAAGAGTGACAGTGTTGATTTGCCCTCAGTGCCAATGTTGCAAATTGATGTGTGTGTGTGTGCGTGTGTGCGTGTGTGCGTGTGCGTGTGTGTGTGTGTGTGTGTGTGTGTGTGTGTGTGTGTGTGTGTGTGTGTGTGTGTGTGTGCGTGTGTGTGTGTGTGTGTGTGTGTGTGTGTGTGTGTGTGTGTGTGTGTGTGTGAAGGTTAAACATTCAGTTTACTGAAGTTTTATTTGTCAAAAATTAAAAAATTGTGCTGCCTTAAATTAAGTTGAATAAAATTAACTTGTCATCTCAATTTAAATCAGTTAAACTTGGTAAAATGTAAAGTTAAAATTTTTATAACTTGAAAAATTAAGTTTGAAAACTTGAAATAAGAACTTTTTTTCTCTTTTTTGTTTTATATATGTAATAATTATTATTGTGCGTGCATGTTTGTAAAAATTTGATTATTTTATTTGTATACGGTTGAGAAAATAAACTCTGAAAAAATCTTGCTGCCTTAAATGTTGTAGTTGAGTGAAATGAGCTTTTTCTAGTCCTCTCAACTTACATCAAACTTGCTAAAAATATTAAATTAAGAATTTAAAATTAAGTTGAAACCTGATCAGCTGATTAAAACAGTTAAAGTTGCACAATGTAACTTTAATTGTTTGTACAACTTGTATTTAAGCTTTGTAAGATATTTATGTTGCAGGCAAAAAGAAATTGAGCTCAACTCTTGAAAAAGAAAGAAAGACTTGAGTTGAGTTGAATGTAATGATGGTTGTGGACGCAGTGTGGCAGTGTTAAGTTGCTTTATGCTGCATACTGATATGTAAAACTATATGTGTGTGTACTGTATACAGGTTAAAGATCAGATGAAACATTAAATATTGAATTGCATAAAAATAAAAATTTGCACTGTTTAAAAATTGTTGTTGCCTTAAGCATTTTTGTTGTATCAAACTACAAATAATGTCATGGTAGCATGCATCCAACTTGCTAAAATTAAGATAAACTTTGTGTAATTACAATAAATAATTACCCTGATCAACAGATTAAAATAGTTTCATAATGTAACCAAAACATTTGTTATCATGACATTGTGTGTGCGTGCGTGTGTGTATACATACATTAAGTCAGAATTATTCACCCCCCTGTTTATTTTTCCCCCAATTTCTGTTTAACAGAGAGCAAATTTCTTCAACACATTTCTAATCATAATAGTTTTAATAACTCATCTCTAATAACTGATTTATTTTCTCCTTGTCATGATGACAGTAAATAATATTAGACTAGATATTCTTCAAGACACTTCTATACAGCTTAAAGTGACATTTTAAGGCTTCACTAGGTTAATTAGGGTTAACTAGGCAGGTTAGGGTAATTAGGCAAGTTATTGTATAATCATGGTTTGTTCTGTAGACTATTAAAAATATATAGCCTAAAGGGGCTAATAATATTGACCTTAAAATGGTGTTTAAAAAATTAAAAACTGCTTTTATTCAATCGGAAATAAAACTAATAAGACTTTCTCCAGAAGAAAAAATATTATCAGACATACTGTGAACATTTCCTGAATCTGTTAAACATCTTTTGGGAAATATCCCAAATTGTGTGTGTGTGTGTGTGTGTGTGCGTGCGTGCGTGCGTGCGTGTGTGTGTTATTTATTTATTTTTAAGTTTGATAATGTTTCTGAATTAAAAATGATTGAATTCAGTGTTATTTATGTACATATTTAATTGAAAGTGATGAGCCATCATTCTTGATGCTTATTAAAACATATCAGAAAATAATTGACTATACTAAATATCATACTGTTTGAATTGATGAATAATTTGCTAAAAAATGTATTAAAACCTAGTGATTTGAACTATAATGAATTACGATTAAAATTCTGAAGTATTTTTGGGAATGATATAAAAAATAATTCATTAAATTAAATGCAGACATGGTAATGTACAAGAAAGAACAACTGGATTTAAAAAGCTTTTATGTTTAATTTAACATGGAGAGATAAAATCAAGATGAAATTTCCATGAAAGATGTTTATTTATCGGTTGAAAAAAATATATATTAAATTTTTATTATGAAATGTTTATGTATTGATCACACAATTACATTAAAACAACCTATTTCTCTATTACAAATGAGTAGCATTCAAAATATGGCGTGTATAAAATATGCAAAAGGCTCAAGTATATCAATATCACAGTGATTGCATTAATAAAAAAATAATGAATCACATGAATCTGAAGCCCTAATTAAGTAAGTAAATAGTCAATTAGATTTCCTACAGACTTTAAGGTTGAAGTGATCTCTTCTGCTATTATCCCCTCCAGAAAGCATTAGCGCATCAGTGAAGTGGTTTTGTGGCGTGTGTGTGTGAGTGTGTGTAATTACAGTGATGTATTACAGTGACCTGCGGGACTGCAGTCTAATAGAGGTGACACTCAAACCCTCTTCTGCTGCTCTTACAGCCTGTAATGACTGAAAACGCTCTAATCCAACAGTGTTTAATCACTGCTGCACGTCAGCACAGCAATTACACACCCTCACAGCCGTAACGCAGACCTTAATGCAATACAACACTCAATTTAACTGTATATTTTTATATATACAGTTGAAGTCAGAGTTATAAGCAGCCCCTGTATATTTTTTCCAGAGAGATGTTCTTCAATGCATTTATGACGATAATCATTTTAATAATTGATTTCTCTTTGTCATGATGACAGCACATAATATTTGATACTAGATATTTCTCTAAATATTCAGCTTACAGTGACATTTAAAGACTTAACTAGGTTCATTAGGTAAAAGTTAGGGTTTTAGTATGTCATTTCCTATAACATTTTTTCTTCTGGAGAAAGTTTTATTTATTTATTTTGGCTAGAAACAATCCAACTAATATTGCCTGAAGGGGGCTAATAATATTGACCTTAAAATGGCTTTTAAAAATTTTAAAACTGCTTTTATTCTAGCTGAAATAAAACAAATAAGACTTTCTCCAGAAGAAAAAATATTATCAGACATACTGTGAACATTTCCTGATTCTGTTCAACATCATTTGGGAAATATTTGAAAAATAAATTCACAGGAGGGCAAATAATTTAGATTTAAGCTGTGTGTATATATATAATTTTTATTTATTTATTTTTATTATTGCAGAACACTCCTGATACAAAAGATCTGATAAAATGGCTACACATTTATACAATAATGTAATATTCAAATGCAGAAAAGTCACATAGATATGCAGTATAAAAATAAAACATGCACACACACACACACACAAATTAAAAGCACTTGCATACACTGAAGAAAAAAAAGATTTAAGGATGATTCCTTGGATTTACTAAAAAAAACTAATTTAAGGGGTTGTAAACAATTGATTTGGGCTGATTTTAAACAAACAAATTAAGTTGAACATTACTTAATTAAATTTGATTTTTTTTTTAATTCAACACAAATAAATTGTTTGCAACAACTTTGCTGACAGCATTTTTTTCAGTGCACTGTAAAAAAAAATCCTGGTTGGCTTACATTTTTAAGCTGAATCAAATTAATTTAAAGAGTCCATTAAACTTATATTATGTTATTCTGGCTTATAACAGCTTGTGTAACTTTATAAAGTTAAGTATGAATCTGATTAACTTAATTTAATAGGTTACAATGACCTAAAATATGCTGTCAGGACTAATTGATCATATAATTTTTACAGTGTAAAATAAAAATAAAACACTTGTGGTTTCTCTGCTGACAGTAAAGTTACAAATGCAGGTGAAATGATTTGTTCAGTAACAAACATTTAGATTCCGGAATCTCCAAACTGTTTGAACACTGCTGTCTCATCATTGTTGATATAAACACTTGCAATTATTATTAATGCTGGATTCTACACAATTCCTTCATGATGTCCCATTACAAACTTAAGTTAACTTAATAGTTAAACAAACTTAAGTGGATTGAACATAAAACAAATAAGTTGTCCATAAAAAACAGCTCATTTTAAATAAGTAGTTTGAACGATGTTATGTTCAATCCACTTAAATTTGTAAAAACTAATAAGTTAACTTAATTCCTTCATGTTGACCCAACACAAATAGGTCAAGCTTAATCGTTTTTACACATTTCAGTAGATTGAACATAAAACAATTAAGTTTTCAACCAAAGCAAATTAAGAATTATGTTGTTTCAACTCATTTTAAATCAGTAGTTAGAACAAGCAGCAAAAGTCATTTTTTTATAATGTATTGCAATGTAAACTACAATAATCATGTCAGTTGTGTTTGTGTTTATAGAATAAAACCCTTTATTCTGTTTTATCTGAATGTCAATTAGACGGTGATTGCAGAGCGTTAATATTCTTTCGTGAAGAAAGTTTGATCAAATTTAAATTAAATGATTTCATATAAACTGTTTTGGGACAGTTATTTACACTAAGAATGCTGTTTGTTGTTTGCCCAAACTACTTATTTAAAATGAGTTGAAGCAACTCAATTCCTTTTTTTTTTTGAGACAACTTAATTGTTTTATTTTCAAACCACTTAAGTTGTTTATTTATTTATTTATTACTAATTTAAGTTAGCCTAATTCCTTCATGTTTTCCCCAAACAAATGGATAAAGTTAACTTAATCGTTTTTATAAATTTAAGTGGATTTAATTAATTTTTTTTTTTGACCTCCCAAAAACTTTTTTTTTTGGTTCAGCTCATTTTAAATAAGAAGTTTGAACGAGCAGTAAAAATTATTTTATTTTAATGGTGTACTGCAATGTAAATTCCAGTAATCATGTCAGTCTGATGCTGTTTGTGTTTCCCTTTATGCTGTTTTATCTAAATGCAAATTAGACGATGATCACAGAGCAATAATGTCTTTTCATGGACAAATTTTAGGCAAAATGTCTATTAATCACTGCGATGCTCCTCAGTCCTGAGTAGTGAAAATTACTTTATTTACATAAAACTCTTTTGATGGGAAACACTTTAAATGACTTTTATCTTATTACACTGATGATCTCAGACAAAATATGAAACAATTGTATTCTTAGTAGTGAAGAATTCTTAGTAGTCACTGTTGCTAGAAGGTTGCTAGTTCGAGTCCCAGCTGGGTGTGTGTGTGTGTGTGTGTGTGTGTGTGAATGTGTATGGGTGTTTCCCAGTACTAGGTTGTAGCTGAAAGGGTGTCCATGTAAAACATATGCTGGAATAGTTGTTGGTTCATTCCGCTGTGGCGACCTTTGATAAATAATGGACTAAGCTGAAAGAAAATAAATGAATGGGTTTCATTGCTGTGCACCAATATCAGGGTGCATATTTGCTCATTTCCATAACTGTAAATATAAGTAATGTAAATATAATGAAATCTCACTCGCATATTTTACAGTAAGTGACCACATCTGTAATATGCAGTTGATTAACAATGAAAATGGCTTATATTTTAAAATCATGTTAAGTTAATGCACTTCCTTTGGGCATATATGATTTTTTTCTATCTAGAAGGGCTTAGAGACATTATTGTAAACAATTATAGTCTTGAAAATGTGTCGTTTGACCTGTGTTCACTCAAAGAAATGATTTTTGCTGTTTGTTCTAACTACTTTTTTTATAATGAGTTGAAACAATTCCTGAGGTTTTTTTAAGGGAAAACTTGATTGGTTTATGTCCAATCCACCTAAATTTGTAAGCACTAATAAGTTCACTTAATTCCTTCACGTTGTACTAATGCAAATCAATTGTGTGGAACCCAGCATGTATTAGTGTTAATCATGTAAATATCCATTTTGTTTTGTTCCTGTATGTATCACATAAATATTAGTGTTTATTGGCTTTAGTTATTACTTTGTGACAGTAATGAATACTTAAACTTCTTATTACCATAATATAAAACAACAATTAGATTTAAATACATGTCTAATAAGAAAAAAACTTTTGTTTTTATACATTTGTGAAATTAACACAATATATGAATACTGAAAGTCTCAATGCAAAAATATATAAGTTTAGCATTAATTCTGCTATTTTTAGTTGTCGTAAAAAGCCTGTTTCTGGTGTAATTGTATTTATTATGTAAATATTGCAGTGTTTATTGTCTTAACATGCTCAGGACAGGGATACACNNATGAAATCTTACTTANCATAAACTACTTAACACTTTTTTTATCACCCTACAGTGTAAATGCAGGCATTCAGGATCAAAATAACATCTGTGTTTATCACTGACAGATGCTGCAATAGAGCTTAACATGTGTTGACCCTAGAATTTTCATTTTTAGTGTCATTTCCCAGCATAATCATTCTGTCATCATTGAATCACCCACTTGCTGTCTTAAATGTTTGACTATTTATTCTTAAGAGAAAGGGTGCTTGCTCATTTCCAACTACTTCAAATGGAAAAATCAAGCACAGATACAGTGAAAGCACTATTAATGTGTCATAAAACAATCAAGGACATGCTATATTGAAAGTTTTACCATCACTGATCATTTTCTTCTCCTGATCAGACTCTTTAGATCACTTTCTGAGGCAGTTTCAGTCCTCGTTCATTCAATCTCACTGAAAATCTGAAGGACTAATAGTACGCAAGTCAACACGAGGGTGAGTAAATGATTCATCGTCTGTTTTAAATGTACTATTCCTGTAAGGACATGCTTTTGTTGTGTGGATGAGGATGTGTTTGTGTGGTCAGGTGAGCAGTGGTGTGTATCAGCTGGAGCTGTAGAGGGTCATCTCTGCAACATTGGCATCTGGAGTCTCCAGATCCTGCTGGCAGCTTTCTCTGATCACATACACCACCAGTCCAAAACAGATAAATATCAGCAGCACAATGCCGATCACCTGGGAAAGAGAGATCACAGTGTGGACGTCTGGGGCAGGTAATATGCAATTGCAGTGCATTGTATTTGTGACAGGAGTGAATCATACAAAATACGTCTTGAACATGTCCAGATTGCATTTCTTTCCTTATAAATAAAAAGTTTATTTGTGGGTTATTTTTACAACTAAACAATAAATAATAATAATAATAATAATAATAGTAATAATAATAATAATAATAATAATAATAATAAAATTATAAAATTGAATCTTTTGTTCTAAAATAATACAATATAATAATTTTATTTTGAGGTTAAATTGGACCTGGATATATTTTTTGTGTGATTCACTCTTAACATTTTCATAGATATGATAAAAAAATAAATAAATAAAAAAAAAAAAAAAATATATATATATATATATATATATATATATATATATATATATATATATATATATATATATATATATATATATATATATATATATATATAAACTTTGATAAAAATAACCTCCTTTTTTCTCTAATTGGTCAGTACTGGTGTGTGGGCGGGATCAAGCTGCCACTCACTGAAGATCCACCAATAGCAAACATTAAACATCATGATGTATCATATAAAAAGCCCTTTATTTTGACCATATATATACGATGTATTACAGCAAAGTAATACAGATAAAACATTTTGTCAATGCAACCATGCCAGTTTAACTTCCATCTAAAATGCTTTGTGTTGAAATGGCAAAAGAACCGACTTCAGCAAATATAACAATGCATTTAAGTATTTTAAAATGGCAACAACAAGTTAAATAGACTCAGATGAAAGCAACAATCAAAAATCATTCACAAAATCAATTCTTCATTGAAGATTTAACAAATCACTGGACTGATAAATCA